CCCCCCCCCCCCCCCCCCCCCCCCCCCGCTGTCCCTGCCGCAGGTCATCCGACCGCCGGTGCTGCGCGAGGGCTTTGCGCTGGTGGCGGCGCAGGGGCTGGAGGTGACTGACGACGTGTCCATTGTGGAGGCGCTGGGCAGGCCCGTGCGCATCACCCCCGGCAGCTACACCAACATCAAGGTGCCTGCCGGTACCATCGCTGTCGATGGTACCGCTGCAGTACTGCCGGGGCGCAGTGCTGGTGCCCCCGCTGCGGTGCAAGAAGCGCAGCAGGCGCGGCAGGGGCCCTAGCCAGGCTTTGTGCCTGTACAGCTTCTCCACAGCTGCTCCCTCCAGCTGGCCTCTGCTGCCACCATCGCCGCATTGTCATGCCCCGGCCCCCACCACTTGACCTACCCCCCAACCCTGCAGGTCACCACCCCCGACGACATGTCGGTGGCTGGGCGCTTCCTGGAGGAGGCGGCGGCTGCGGCACGCGGCGCCCAGGCCGCCGCTGCCGACCCGCTGGAGGCGGCGCGGGTGGAGTACTGCGAAAAGGTGGACCCCTCTGCTCGGGAGTGCAAGGTGTTTGACGAGTGATGGAAAGGAAGAAAGGAGGCGGCGCGAGAGGGTGCAGGGGGCCGTGCAAGCAGAGAAGAGCCAGGAGGTCCCACAACCCTCGAGGCTGCTTGAGCGGGAGCCTGGCTGGTGGCGCGCGTGCTGCTCACGTGTTGCCCTGCTTGCCGCTCGCTGCAGTTCCATTTTTGTTATTTTTTCGTACATAAAGTTGCAATATTGAAGGGTGCAGGCAGGAATGGCGGGTGGCCGGCAGATGTGCTGCTCGCGGTGTGATTGGTACAGGGGACGAGAGTGCCCGCCCGTCTCCTGGGCTGGGCACAGGTAGCACGGTGTCGGCACTGCAGCCGCGCTCACGCTACCGGCGACGCGGTGGCGTTGGCGCTCACGTCGACGGCAAAGGGGGTGAGGGTGGGGCCCAGGGGGTAGCGCTGCACCGAGGCGGCGCCCGCGACCGACGACAGCGGGACGGCATAGTACTGGCTGTTCTGGTGGAGCTTGTAGTAAAACGTGGGCTCTGCGGGCGCGTGGAGGTGGGGGGCGACAGGAGCAGGCTGGGCCCCGCTGCTGCCCAGTGATGTTTTAACCGCTTGGCGTGCTCAGGCGGCATGCGCCTGTGCCCGGCCGCCCCCAGCCCCGCCCCTCCTGCCTCACACGCTGGAGCCCGGGCCTCCTCACCAGTCAGGTCTACCAGTACCATCATCTGTGTGCCGTACACGTCTGGCAGCTCCCGCGCGGATCCCGACAGCTGGCTCATGGGCACCAGCAGCGGCGCCAGGAACAGCTCTGCACGCTTGAGCGCCTTGAAGGACGCCGGCGCCTGCGCCGCCGAGTAGCCACCCAGGTAGCCGGGGCTCCAGCTGGCGTTGGGCCACTGGTACGCGGTGCAGTTCACGGGAGGGCGGCACCGGCGATGTGGCGCTGAGCAGGAACGGCAAGTGGGCGATGGTGGGGACGGCGGTGTGCAAGCGCTCCGCTAATGGCAAGTGGGGCAGCAAGCCAGTGCAGGACCTGGTGGCGGCAGCCAAGAGGCTCACCAACCCGCCCGGCTCCCCTGGCTCAAGGTGCTGCTCAACAGGCTGGGCGCCCCTGTGGCGCTCTCAGCTGACGGCTCGGTGGCCGTGGCGGCGGCCCCCAACGCTGCCACCGATGCCAGCCCCGTAGCGTGCGGGGCAGTCCTGGTGTTCACACGCGGCCGCTTGGGGCGCTACTCTCGGGCAGCCATCATGGCACCTTACATCAAAAACCAGGAGCACCCACCAGCCAGCCGTGGCTATGAGGGCCCCCAGTTTGGGCTGGCGCTGGCCCTATCGGCCGACGGCAACTGGCTCACCATCACAGGCGGGCACGCTGGCACCGCCGAGGTCGACCAGAGCGAGTGTGTGGTGAGTGGGGCCATCTGGGAGGGGCACAATGAGGTGGCAAGCATGCGGGAGAAGTGACTGGGGCGCTTGCTCCTTGCCGCGGCAATCGCATCCTGCCGACACCTGGTGACAGATACTGACCAACTGCAACCAGAGAGATAGCATCAACCTGCGCGTGCCCCCCGCCGCCGTCTCCCCCACCCACCCCACCCCCCACACACCATGCCGCAATTGTTCACCTGCACGCCAACCTACACCGGTGCCTGGGACGACGCAGGGCAGATGACGACAGCCCGAGGCCAGGCCTGCGCCTCCCCCAGCTTTTCAGCCAATGAAATGTCGCTGCTCGTCTGTGAGTCCCCGCTTGCTGCTCCTGCCGGTTGGCGCCTGCTGGTTGGCGCCCGCTGGTTGCCGCTCCCGAGCCGCTTGCAAGCGGCTGCCTGCTCGCCGGCCCTCCTTGCATTTTCCACCTTTCCTCCTTATCCATCTGTCCTCCGCACACCAGCACCTGCCGCTGGCCAGCCTGTGTGCACCACCCACCCTGCCTTCCACAAGTGCTCCCCACCCCCATCCCCTGCTGCAGCTGGGTACGCCAGCAGCGACCGCTACTCCTCACTCAACCAGCGCTGCTTCTCCCTGGTCACCCCCTACGTCATGGGCGGCCGCCTGCCGTACCGCGACTGTGCTTATTCCATTGCGCCAATCCAGTCGCTCCCAGGCTCCAAGCATGTCGACCACGCCGTATCCCTGGTGGAGCAGGCCAGCGGCGGCAGGGTGGCGGCGGTGGCGCGCATGACGCCCGTCACCTTCTTCCGCTCCCGAAACGTGGTGGAGGTGTGGAACGCCTCCTCCGCGTCCCCCGCCAGCTGGGCGTATGCCGCCAAGCTGCACCCAGCAGGGGCCAGCGACCTGGACTTTGGCAGCGCGCTGGCGGTGTCTGCCAACGGCTCAGTGATTGCCATCGCCGACACGAGCGCCACCCCCACCAGCACCCGCGTCAACCTGTTTGCGCGCAAGGCAGGCCAGTGGCGCCTGGCTAGCAGCATTCTGGAGCCGCGCTCGCTGCTGGGCGACGGCGACGGCTGCAACGGCTGGGGCACCATGTCGGCGGGGCAGGGGCTGGCCCTGTCGGGCGACGGCTCCCAGCTGCTGGTGGCGGGCAAGGCCTGGGACGCCAAATCCAACCTGTTCCACATTTACTCCACCCGCCTCTAGCGCCTGTCCAGTGCGTTGCAGTGCATTGCAATGTTGCTCTTGCTTGATTCTTCATTGCCTGATTGATCGAATTGTATCTGCATGCCACCCGCATAGCCTTCTTTGGGCATGATGGCTGGTGCTGCAGCTTATTGGAGGCACACCACATGGAAGCCACCACAATGTTGCTTGTGTAAGTCTGAGGGTGTTCATGTGCTGGCACTAGATATAGAGAGGTGCTCAACTGCCGCACAGGCACAGCGGCAGCGGGTTGGCGGCGGCACCAGATCGGCGCTCGCCATTGATGGCAGTGCATACTGCTGCTGCTCCTCTTGGGCATGCATTTTCGAGGCTATGCTGATTTGCCCAGGGAGCCAGGCCCTGTGCCTCTTCGCTGAATGCCACAGCTCGTGTATTTTGCCAGGGGTGCCAGGGCGCCGACGTCGGCGCCCGCCCACCAGGCGCCTTCCCCTCACTGAGCAATCCGGCATGCTCCACGTCTACTCTCAGATTGCCTGGGGCCGCTCCGGTGCTCTGTGGGACTCAAATTTGACCTGCCCTGCTGCGTTTGGCCCTCAGCATGTTGGCCCACCACCTCAGCGCGTTAACAAGCGCCGTCCTTGAAGCCAGTGACACACCCTCAAACATATGCAATTCACTGGGCATCTGCTTGCCCGCCGTGTCTTGCAAGATCGTCAGCCCCATCTGACAGGCGGCCTGCAGAGGCGTTTGTGACAGCAGCCACGCGGCCCGGGCGACTGGAAAACCCCGCAATTCAAGCCAGCCAGCCGTGGGATAGGGAGAGGGGCTGCTTCGCAACCACCCCCAGCTGCACCTGCTGCGGGCATGAGCAGCACTGGCGTCGCGCAGATTACCCTCCATTAGACGGCCGATGCGGCCCAAGGTGCGGCGGCGGGGCCAGCCCTCTGCGTGGCTTGCCAGAGCCGGCGGCTAACAACCCCCTGCCGCCGCCGCCGCCGCTGCCGCGCCGCATGCAGGCACCCCCCCTGCAGCAGAAGCCGTGGCAGCGCAAGGCTTTTCAGTATGCCGCGTATGCTTTCTGGCCGATGCTGGTAGTATGGGTCATCTACTCGTACCCTAGCGGCGGCCGGGGCTCGGCGGCGGCGCGGCTGCCGGCAGGTGCGGTGGTTGGGCGCGGCGGCGACGCGCCAGGCAACAGCGCTGCCCAGCAGCATCCTGTGCACGGCACGGGGCCGACCGATTCATTCAATTCGGGCCACAGGAGCTGCTGCGGCTGTCCCTGGCTGCACACCCGGGGCAGGCCGCCGGCGTCGGCACCCCGGCATTTGCTGGCGCTGGGCGCCTGCCCCGCACCCCGCACACCCGTGACGTTCACTCCCCCTCCCCGCGCTCCCCAGCCTTCCTGCCTGCAGAGCTGCGCCCGCTGGGCCGCGACACCAAGACGCTGGGCGCCGTGGACGGCGACGCCGCGCTGCAGCAGCCTGTCGACGTGTTCGATGAGGGCAGCGCGGCAGAGTGGGAGCTGGACGGATCCGGCAAGTCCGCCGACAGCGGCAAGCAGCAGCAGCAGCAGCAGCAGCTAGAGCACGTGGCCACGGTGGGCGGCGGCACGCAGGTGGGCGGCACCGGGGCCGACGCCGGCGGCCGCGTCTACTCCTCCTGCACAATCTATGCCGTGCGCAACGGCTCGGGCCAGCTGGCCAAGTACTATTACAAGTTTGCCAACGTGCGCCTCACCCGCAAGACCCTCTACTTCTTCATGCCCCCCGGTGCGCAGCCGACCCGCGGTGGGGCTTGCCTGCCCGGGCTGCTGCCTCAGGGGTGCCCTTCAGGGCTGCCTCAGGGGTGCCAGCCCGCCGCCTGCTTGCGCTCTGTGCATGCAAGCTGCGTGCCGCTGCATCACCAGACTCTCCGGCTGCCTGCCTGCCTGCCGCCCCCGGCGCCCCCGGCCCCGTACCGCACGCACCGCCGC